AGGGAAGGATACGGCGGGAGCTCGAACAGCGAACCCAGCATCCGGACGAGTCCCTGCTGGAGTTCGTACGAGCCATGCAAGAGCTCTTCGAGCTCGCAGAACCCTCAGCTCCCAATGCAGAGCGAGTGGAACGCGTCATACGCCAAAGCCACCCGACTTTCGCTGCGTATCTTCGAGGCAGCCGTTTCCGCGATCTGAACGAGCTCGCCTCCGAGGCCCGGCGCCTTCAGGGAGACATTCTTGCTGCCCGTGCGTACCGGCCTCCGCCTCCAGCGTCAGCGGCCCTCGAACCGCGCTGCGCGTGGAGCGGGGACACGCCATCTCGAGCACCAAGGCGCTACGATTCCGCAAACTATGCGGAAGATCGGGGCCGAGACACGTACGCAATCTCTGATCGTGCGCTCGACCCGTACTCCTACGGTAGACGAACAAGCCGGCCGACGCCGCAGTTCAGAACCACCGACTCGCGCCCCAACGAGGCAGCGAGGCAGGAGGAAACGAGGATCCCTCAATCTCAGCGAGCCAATGCACGCTACGACAGAGCCGGCGAAAACCAAAACGCACGGCGGAACCCCCAGCGAGGCGACGACAGAAGATGTTTTCGGTGCAATCGCCCCGGTCATCTCGCTCGCCAGTGCCCGAAGCGGCCGAACACGGAATCGCACCGTGCGGGAAACGAGCAAAGCCAGCGGTAAACGGCCCTTGGACGGACGCACCGGTGGCTAACAAAGAATCAGAAGGTCCCATGGCCACTCTTTTGCCGACCGCCTACAGAATAGGCTTCCCGACCGGCACGCCGGCCCCGTTCATTTCTGTAACGATCGCCGGCAAGGCATTCAAGGCAGTCCTCGACACCGGAGCAAGCGCTTCGATGTTCGGCGGCGAAGTGTTGACTCACCTCCGACAGAATTCTGTCCGACTCCGAGAATGCAACACTGCCTTTCGCCTAGCCTGCGGAACCGCCCTTTCGGCTGGTACCGCGCGGCTGGTCGCGAGATGGGAGAATCGAGTAAGACGACAACGCTTCGTTCATCTCCCTGGCCTATCGGTGCCCATTATTTTGGGCAGAGACTTCCTTGCCAAAACAGGCATTGTAATCGACGTCAGCAGCGCAGGCTATCGGGAGGGCACGTTTGCACCCCTGAAACCCTTCTGCGAACCTCCGGCCGTACCGCCAACGCCACCATTGGCGCACGCGACGAGCCGTCGAGAGGAAGCGAGGGACTTCCTAAACCGGGTCATTGACCCCAAGACACCGAGTCCAGCGCCGATGGCAGCGAGCGCCGCCCCCATCGGGGAAATGACGCACCCACTGCTCACGCAATCATGCAGCGTGTCAGGGCGAGAAAAAGCCCGACTGTCGTCGTTGTTGCGCTGCTATGACGCAATTTTCACGGACCGACCTGGCTGCACAAATGAAGTGCGACATCGCATTGACACGGGCGACGAGCTGCCAAGAAGGCAGAACGCTCGACCCGTAAGCTTGGCTAAACGAAAAGCCATCGACCGTGCCCTGGACGAAATGATCGACACCGGAGTCGTCCGGCGATCTAACAGCCCCTGGGCATTCCCCGTGGTGCTGGTCCCGAAGAAAGACGGCAGCTCACGTCTTTGCGTGGACTACCGCCGTCTCAACGACGTCACACGAAAGGACGCCTACCCGCTACCGAGCATCGACTCGATTCTGTCCAACTTGGGCAGTGCGCGGTACTTCACCACCCTGGACGCTAGCCGAGGCTACCTCCAGGTTCGAATTGAGCCAGGTGACGAGGCAAAAACAGCCTTCTGTTGTCACCGCGGGCTTTTCGAAATCACACGAATGCCCTTCGGTCTGTGCGGAGCGCCAATGACGTTCCAGCGATTGATCGACCGAGTACTGGGAGAAGCCAAATGGAAACACGCAATGGCCTATCTCGACGACATTGTCGTCTACTCCAACACCTTTGAAGATCACCTACGTCATCTCGAGGACGTACTCGACCGGCTAAAAGCCGCGGGAATGACCCTGAACCCCGAAAAGGCCCAAATAGCCGAAACCCGCATCGCCTTGCTCGGGTTCGAACTTGATCGCGGGCGCCTTGCGCCACATCCCGACAAACTACATGCAATCCTGGAGTTTCTTGCGCCAACCGACGTGAGCTCCCTCCGTCGCTACCTATGAATGGTGAACTTCTATCGCCAATTCATCCCAAACTGCGCGACGCTTCAAGCACCACTGACACGCCTATTGCGAAAGTCCGTGAGTTGGAGCTGGGGTCCCGAGCAGGAAGCGGCCTTTCGCCGCACCTCCCGAGCGCTCGCGGACACAGCTGAACTCAAGCTACCCGACTTGAGCAAGCCCTTTCTGATCCAAACAGATGCCAGCAATCTTGGCTTGGGCGCGGTCCTGCTCCAACAGCACGAAGGTGTACTCCGACCGGTGGCCTTCGCCAGCCGCTCGTTGACGCCAGCTGAAAGGAACTACAGTACATGCGAACAAGAGTGCTTGGCCATCGTCTTTGCACTCCGGCGCTTCGACATTTATGTCGACGGGACCACTTTCATGATCGAAACAGATCACCAAAGCCTAATATGGCTCTCCCGACTTCGCGAACCCGCTGGTCGCTTGGCGAGATGGGCTTTGATGCTGCAAAAATACGACTACGTCGTGCGGTACCGGAAAGGCAGCAGAAACGTGGTGGCGGACGCATTGTCACGAGCCCCCGTAGACTGCACACAGATTTCCGCAAAGACCCAGGCCGAGCCAACGACACTCACAGTGCCAGGCGAAGCCGTGACTCAGTCCCAAAGGGAGGCAGCAGATCTGACCACCCCGGACGAGACGATCAACCACCTAGACGCAGTGAGCGCAGTGGGAATCGTGTTCAGCAATGAAGAGCTTCTGAAAGCCCAGCAGAATGATCCGTTTTGTCGAAAGGTGATCGACGGACTCGCGGAAGAGTCAGACGCCGTGGAGGCGGGCGGTGCGACCGCCGGGCGCAACACTACTGGTATTGTAGTAGGCGCCGAGTGCCGGGACGCATCTGGTATTGGTGCGGGCACGGAGGATTCATATCTGCTGAGCAATGACGGGCTCTTGCTGAGGTACATACCCTCCGAGAACGACTCCGACGAGGCGTTCAAGGTAGTGGTACCCCGCAGTCTGAGAAACGCAGTTTTGCGCTACTATCACGACTCGCACTTGGCCGGACACGCGAGCGGCTCCAAGACTTACTCTAAGTTATGTCGCATCGCCACCTGGCCGGGCATGAAACGGGACGTTTTCCGTTATGCCCGCACCTGCCACTCTTGCCAAAGCTTCAAACCAAGAGGCGGCAAACCCCCGGGCCTAATGCAACCGATTCCGAGCCAGCAATCATGGTCTCTGGCAGCCTGCGACGTGGTCGGCCCCCTACCGAGGAGCCCTAAAGGACACCAGTATCTGCTGGTTGTAACTGACCACTTCAGCAAATGGACGGAACTTTTTCCACTCCGTAAGCTGACAGCCCGAGCGATCGCGGAGAAGCTCATGGAGGTTTTCACCCGTTTTGGGTTCCCCGAAGCTCTTTTGACTGATCGAGCGAGCTACTTCGTCGGGAAGGTATTCGTGGACGCGTGCTAGGCCCTTGGCATAAAGCACAAAACAACCACGCCCTACCATCCGCAGTCGAACATCACGGAGCGATGTAACAGAAACATCAAACCAATGCTGGCCGCCTTCGCGGAAAGGCAACGTGACTGGGACGCATATATCCCCGAGATCGGGTTCGCACTTCGGACCACTCTCAACCGTTCAACGGGCTTCACCCCCGCTTCCTCACATTCGGGAGAGAGCTTCCGAACCCCATGGACCGTGTCCTAGGGGGGAGCGCCGGGGTGGACAACGCGCAGCCGACGCAAACGGACCACGCGCGGCAGCTACAAACTCGGATGACGGAAGCCTTCTCAGAGGCGCATCGCAATCTCGGGGTAGCGCGAGCGAAACAAAAAGCTCAGTACGACCGCTCGCATCGAGATCTCCGCTACAAAGTGGGCGATCTCGTCCTCAGACGCAACCATGTTCTGAGTGATGCCAGCAAAGGCTTCTCGGCTGCATTGGCTCCGAAGTGGTGTCGCCCGTACCGAGTGCAGGAACTTCTCTCCCCACTCGTGTACAAGCTGACAAACTTGCAATCAAGAAAAGTCGGTGGGCCGGTACATGTGTGCGATCTGAAACCCTACCATGAGAGGGAAAACGGGGCCAACGAGCAAACTCAGCCCCCGCAAAAACATGCACCCGCAGCGCGAGATAACGCCGACGATGAACAACAGGCGTCTCGCTACAATCTGCGTAGACGGAGGAACTATTATCCGAAGTTTTCGTAGAGGCAGCCCCATTAAGTGGCGAAATGTCACATTAAGGGAAGTGCAAAGCACAATACACCTGCTGCCTTCGCGAACGCGCCAGACACCATTGTTTACTGGCAAGCAGTGACCTACATACGTCACCTCAGCGTTCGCTCCCGGATGAACCCGTAGGGGAATCCCCGAAACACGGCTTCCGAGGGAAAGGGTACGCGTAACTGCCATTGGTCAGTTATTGCCACCTACGCTCACGTGTGCCACTTGTCAACGCGAGAGCGCGGTGCGAGCGTCGTCACAAGCGGTCGGAGACCAAGTGGTCATTCTACCGCAGTACGTTCCGCACCTACGAAGAGGACCTCCATCCAGCCTTTCCTTCGCGCCGTTCGTGAGCTGCTGTCTCCTGGCTTCGGCAGTTCAGCGGTGTCCAGGGACCACGGCTGGACGTGACTCGTCAGGCAGCCCCGCTACCCCAGCCGGCCGCGGGCCAAACCAGCAACCAGTCGTTTTCGTGGGCCGTCGGGATCGTTTCCGGTCAGGGACTGCCGGCTCATCATCTTCGGGACCCGCGCCGCGGTCGAAAAGCTCGCCGACCAGGGACCAGCTGTTCCCGTCGTCCCGTAGCAAGTCTCAAGGGCCCCAGGGACCTGGCGCACTTCACCCGGCAGGTCTCGCAGGCAATGCACTACATCCGCAGCCGAGGGATGATCCACCGGGATCTGACCGCGCTCAAAGTGCTCGTCTACGAACACGGCTGCTACAAGGTCGCCGACTTCGGCCTCTCCAGGAGCACTGGGACCCCGAGAGGGACGTCTACCACCAAAAGGTCAAGGGCGCCCTTCAAGTCCGACGTCTGGTCTGTCGGACTACTGCTGTGGGACATGGTCACTTTGGGCTCGACGCCCTACCCCGGCCTGGGCGCTCAGGAGGTGACCCGCTACGTGCGCGGCGGTCACGGGATGACGCAACCGATCGACTGCAGCTGGGAGCTGTGCCGCTGGTGAGCGACCGCTGGACGAACTTTTGGACCATGAACGTATGAGCCGGGCTGTCGTTTCCCGTGTAGCCGCTGGTGGCCTTTTTCTTTTTTTTATTATTTTAGTCTTGTTGTGTGTTTGTGTTGGTCCACCCGTTTGCGGGTGACTATTGGCTAAGGAGGGGGGAGTGTGGGGATTGTGATTCCTCAACATTCTGTCGCGTCAGCGTTTTGGCGCGCCGTGGCGGCCGCGCTGGCGTAGCGAGAGGTGGCGCTGCTTACCACTGTGAGTGGACTTGAAGGGCGCCCTTGACCTTTTGGTGGTAGACGTCCCTCTCGGGGTCCCAGTGCTCCTGGAGAGGCCGAAGTCGGCGACCTTGTAGCAGCCGTGTTCGTAGACGAGCACTTTGAGGGCGGTCAGATCCCGGTGGATCATCCCTCGGCTGCGGATGTAGTGTATTGCCTGCGAGACTGATGGCAAGGGGGTTTCATAGCCTCACTTTCTTTGCACTGCGGAGTGAATATAGATTTCACATTTAAATATTCTCAGCTTAAATGGTAAAACAAAATGGCTAGGTGGCGTAAGCTACCGCCCGATCCAAAGGGCTCAGCCGTATTCATCCATCCATCCAGTGGCTTCCTCCTCTCCCCTTTGGGGCGATTTCCGTAACGAAAAAATTGTAAGGGTGCAGGCGAGCTGGTGGAAGTTAACCATAGTTTTGTTTAACCCGAGACTGGGGTATTTCGGAAAAGGGACGAGAAGAAAAGAGGCCACAAGGAGGCGACGTCTCACCGTAACGAACCCCCGCACAAAGGAGATCGACGTGTCGCTCCTTGATTGGCCACTTCGCCTCCGCCGTTATCTTAAAACCAGCGGACAGCAGTCTCGCTTCGCTCTTCGTCCTGGGATTCGGCGGCGGCGACAACGGGGAACCATCCGGCGCACCGGTGAGCGTTTACCCCGTCCTTTGTACATTTGTGAGCGACCGTTCGGCCGTGGGCGATCTCCACACCGACGGCGTTCACCAGCTTATAGCCGCTGTGTTGTTGTTATTTTGTTTCATTGTAAATAAACAGTTTATCACCGTTACCAACGTGACTGGTGTCTGTTTGCGCTCGACGAGCAGCATGCCACGCGAGTGCGAACCCGCTTCGCGGTAGAGCGTCTCGCCGCGAACGTGGTACTACCAAAGGCAGTGGCCCTAAGGAGAACCACAAAGGTAATCGCCATTTTTTTTGTTTCGCAACAAACTTTATGGCGCCATCTATTGGGTAGCCAGAGCACACTTCCGGTTCACGTATAATTCTTTTTTTTACGCATCATCTTTTTACTACAAGCGTGAATTACGTCCGACATTGTCATAAGCGGCCACTTCCCGAAGATCGCAAACCACCATCTATATACGGTGGGATTTGCAAGAAAGACGCGAAAAAGACGCGCAGGACACGCGGGAAAGAGCGAATAGCTAAACAAAACGCATTTCCACCTGGGGTAAGCTGTTTGCCTGCCGGGCTCCATTTCAACCTTCCTCCCAACACCCCAGCACAACCAGGGTTCGTCCTCGCGTGGTATTTGAACCGCGCAGACTTTAATTCTGTTAAGACAAGGGTATCGAACCTAACCCGGACCGAAAACCGGATCAAAACCGTTATTTTCGTCGGAACAGGTACAAAACCGAAACGCTTTATATTGAACCCGAACCGGAACGAAGCCATAATCTGATGGGGCGGTTACCGGTTCAACGAAAGCGGATCAAGGCCAATTGTGTCAATAATTGGTGTTAATGGGAAAAGTAGCGTGCTTATTTTTCTTATATTGCCAAGACTAATCATACATAGTGTCAGATATTTTTACATTTCCTTCTTATTGCGTACGTAATAAAAAAAATGCACTATCACCAAAAGCAGAAACACAAATAGTCCTCGTGGTCAGCGAGCTTGCTCAGTTCCCGCCTGTACTTCCTCATCAGGAGAGCTTCAACTTTGTTTCTTGGATTGAATTGGCGGCGCGGTAGTCGCGGCGGCGATTTCAAAGCACCGCTTGGCCACGAACTCGGGAGTTTTAAAACAGCGCATGCTAAAGCTTTGCGCACGCAAAGAATAGCGTCGTCGCCACTGCGCATGCGCCGAACGCTAACCACATTTCGCGCTTTGCGTGCGCTATTTTACCGCACGCTATTTCTCGGAAATTACGTGCGTACGCAAAGGGCCTTTGTGCTCCTCCAGGAGGATTTGTGATGAGAAGTTGGCTAAAGCCAAGACGAGCTCAGTTTAAGAAATGGCGGCCCCCAGGACCATGGCTGCGGCCGCTCTGGCGGCGTCGTGAGCGCGGCGTCGGCGGCATCCTCGCGACTGCTACTACGCCAACTGCGCCCTCGACGTACCTGTTTCTGTGTCTTACGACACATTTGTTTCCTCTCGTTCCCCTGTCTGCCACTCTGGGGCATAGCTGCGACATCTTACTGGGCGCCGAAAACAGGTAGCATGTCTAAAAGCACGTATGTGCAGAGCAAAACAAACAAACACATATACAGTGCAAGCAATCCAGCTAGAAATCTTTTTACTGTTTATAAAATCACAGCCCAGCGTGCGATCTCCGCAGCCCAGCACGCGCGTGTTCGTCACTTCGTAAAGCGAGCAAAGCACGCACTATACGTCTGAACACTAAAGATCGCACCGGCGACAAGCTCTTTTTTGGAAAGGTCTATAGACCCATTCACAAATTACGCCCTCTTCTGGTACAGTTTGAAATACTGCACAGCTGCGAGTGCAAAAGACACAATAAAAATGGAAGGTCAATCGCTTATATATGCTTCACCTAAGAACGGTATTATACCAGTAATAGCCTTGCCACATTAATGGTGTCTTTTGCGCACGTCACTGTGCAGGGTTTTCAGATCTGCCGGGAGAGGGAGTAGTTTTGGGATGGGTCTATTGCAAGTATCTCGTGCTCGCAAAAGGCTCCAGGAAGTGCTCTTTCAATATTCAAAGGTCGAGTTAGTAACCGGTTCGAACCGGTTCGCACTTATTAAAACCGGTAACCGGAGTGATATTATGTGCGCTACTCTAAACCGGAACCGAACCGGAACAAAATGCAGTGCTACTGAACCCGAACCCGAACCGAACCGAAGTGATGACCGGTTCGACACCCTAGTTGAGACAGATTTCTATTTTTGTCCCTTGGTAAGCGAGGGGAACACTATATCGACGACTCTACGTTATAAGGTTATACCAGGGCTGAGCAGTATTGCGATACAAATGTATCGCGATAGTACCTTGAAAGTATTTTCGAGTATCTGTATCTCTGTATTGAGATGCATTTGAAAAATGTATATATGTATCTCAGTAGTGAAATACATTTGCAAGGTATCGCTTGAATCGCGATACTTTGCCAGACTTAGGTATCTCGTTACATGTGTTGCCCTCCTTAAGATAAATTTAAAGGATAAAAACATCTGTTTTGTGCAAGTTGCTTCCGAATTTATAACGAGAATCCGCCCCATAACATAATCCAACTCAGTCACCAACATTATAAAAACAAAAAAAACTGTGGTTTAAAGAAGGTTACATTCAAGAATAACAAAATCAGCCCCTATCGTAAAGCTCTCCACCCTTTCTAATTTAGCAGAGAGAACGCTGTAAAGGAGTTGAGTAGAGAAAAAGTGCGGCCCTGTTGTCCAATTTCCCTAGACTTTGGGTGACTCAAAATTACATACGACGAGAATTTAAGATGCGCCTTCATGGCAAAGCAGGGCTCCTTCGGGCAGACGCCTTATGTCAGGCATGATACGCAGTCTTTACCGTTCTGCAACTATGCGGTTAAACGGCCATGACATGTTTTTTTTGTTTGTTTTTTCTAGCGGCATTAATGATAAGTAAAGAGTTCGAGGGAAGGGGTAGTACATAAATTGTTGCAAAAAGAGGAGAACAAGCATAAATTACCCTTCCCATTCTCCTCAAACTACACCATCTCCACATAGCACGGTTCGGAAACAAATGTATTTCTATAAGCATCAGTATCCGTAATCCGGAATACTTTATCGCTGTTTCTGCAGAACTATCTCAGGGATATTCCGTTCCATGAAAGAGAAATATATCTTAGTATCTGTATTTGAGCCTTAAAACACATGTATCTTGCGTTGAACATAGCCGAAAATTTCCATTGTACGGTTACGTAAACAACGTCGTGTTTATGAATTGCGTTCCTCCTGTTTTGTTTTTTATTTTTATTTTACATTTCTTGCGGCATTTTTCCCATTGTCGCTCTAGGCTCGGCGTTGCCGTGGAGGCGAGCACTGTACGCAGCTGTTCCACGAAGAATTCCGAAGCGTTCGTGGAGGGCAAAGCGGGCGTTCACGTTGACTGTCAGTCGATTAACGGGTGGGTGTTGGTACTTCCAACCAACCAATATTTGTCTGTTGCTGGCCTGGTTTGAACTGATTGACCTGTTCTAGTCTGAGGAAAAGACTATGTCTTCCTACGAAATTTCGAGATTTCCGAGGGAACTGATATATTTTATGTGTTCTTGAGCACCTCATCACGCGTCACCAATTTTATAATGCTCGTTTTAACACAAAATGTGTTTATGATGCTGGATTTCATAGAAACGTGGAACGCGCGAGTATGGCGAAAAAGCGATACACACAGGTCATGGCAACATAAAGGATACATAGCCCGTGCTGCATAAACCTCCAAAGCATACAGAAGGCTACATTGGTAAAACAAATACATACACAATCACAACTAGAAACACACAATTGAAGCAAGACAGATTAAGCAAAGAGCTCAGCGGGAATCGAACCTCGGACCACAAAATGCGCATACCGACATCGTCGTTTAAGTCACAGGTACGAGAGGCAGGTGAACGCAAGAAACTGAACTATGACTTGCCGCCGACGGTCGCCTACAGTGCGTGACTGTCCGCGGCGAGTAATACTTCGTCCAGCGCATTTAGTCCGCGGGCGACCATCGGAGACGAGCTATACTTAGGGTACTTGGTCCGCAGTCGACCGTCGGCGCCGAGTTATA